ACTGTGCTTTTTGTTCTACACTGACTTTGAATAGCTTTAACTTTATATGCAAAGTATAGGATTAAAGATACACTTTTTTCAGTATTAGATGCATTTGTTTATTGGAATAAAATGAAGACATTCACTTTTGCATTAGCCATGCTAATTCACCAATGATTTTCTGCATCAAAATCTTGCCACACAGGTCTGATGAAAACAGATGCTTCCTCAAGTGAAAAAACATTACAACAACTCAACATTATCCTCCAGATGACTGATTGTCTGTCTGATCTGGTTCTATGAAAATATTGGTATAAAACCGATTCCAAGTAGAAAATCCAATTAAAAATGTATTAAATGTAGATGTGGTTCAATCTCCCTTTAGTCATGGCAGGGTGTACAGTTTATGGATACTTCATATTTAAACATAACACCATTATAGCTCACTAATTCTAGCTAAACTATTTGCCATAAAGGAATTATGGTTTGCAGAAACCATTTACAAGTGAAATCACACAATGAACAAATAATACACACAATAAAAAACAGTCCTAGAGCACAGAAAGAAAAATACAATACTATAAACACAAATCAACTTTTTATACCTATTTTGCCCACCACGCAGTGCAATAATTGGTCAGTCTTTAGTGTAAATTACCAAGCTGTTGCAGTATACAGGCTCTGTACTGCTATTGAATTTCATGTTTAAATTAAGCCATCTAATTGCAGAGGTAATAAATAAGACTCTAGTCCCTCTGCTCTGAAGTTTATCCAATGTGACGAAGCAGTCAGAGACTATCGGTTCCTCTGTGAGTCAAAAAAAAAGTTCATCTTTCACCATATGACTCTCACAGTTTTCATTTATTTGAGTGTAGCTCAGAGCTGTAAGCATACTGGAGTTACTCACAAAGCTGTCCTCAACTACTGCAGTACGCACAGCTAATGCAATAACATCTGCTGAAACAAGGTCATAATTTAAGCAGATGTTAAAAGATTTCATTTTCTGTAAGGAAAATAAAAACTGCAATACTTCCCTGTAAATTATCTCTGTGGCTGTCTCTGAAGATTATTATTAGTGAAAGAGTGCATTTGTATTTTCCCTCCAATTCAATTCCATTATCAGATTGTCAAGTGGATTTGGATGCAGACTGTAAACTTCTTCTCCTGGAAGATGCTATGAAATCCCAGAATCAGCTGCAAACTTGATAAAATGTCTGTTTTAAGATTTGCTGTGGCAGGCATGAATATGAATCGTAGGATTAGAGGGGTGGAGGAATAAACACAACCCAAGGGGGAGAGAGAGTAGATGAAAAGAGGAAATCTGAGCACCAAAATCTGTCACTTGAAATGTCCATAATACAGCCTACAACCTGTCTAGCCTGTCTAGATCAACCTAGTGAAATATGAAAGAAGAAATGTATAAAAGAAATTGGAGAAAACTTAAAAGCACTAATGAGAAGCAATGAAGTGAGCATCCTCAGGCTCCCAATGCAGGATGCAAACTGTACCTGTGCCTCCTTCTCCTGGGTTTTGTCAGTTAAATGCTACAGGCCTGAAATGGACATTTCAGCATTTCTTTCGAAAATACTACATCAGCTAGAATCCCTACCATGCAAAACAAATTTTCAGTTAAATTCAATTTAAATTTGTACTATGCAGACACTCCATTAAACTGTATCTTCACAGATTCTGGACTAATCACTGACTAATCACATTAGACACACAGGATGCTGACTGGGGAAGAGTTATTTTCATGTTGCCAATGAATCTTTATCTCATCACAATTTCAAATATTTTTTGAGGAGCTAAACTGTTCAAAATGCTCTGTGAGAAACTGGATATACACACTGCCCTTCCCCATCTGTCTCTCTTTCTTTACCCACATACACTCGCATGCACGTCATTGTGTATACACACACACACACACACTCATCACCATGTCCTAAACTTTTTATGTGATTCCATTTTCTTTATCAGGATTATTTCAAATTACTCTCCCTACTTCTTATATATGTGTTTACCATTCGTCACTTTATAGCTCTGCTCCAGCTCCTTTCTTAACGCACCAACATGGCTGGATATCAATCTTCTCATATAAATCTAAACAAGAAAGTGTAGTGAGTGTATTACCCAAAGATTCAAGATTTCACATTTTATCGTACATTCTTTCAGTGGTGGAAGAAGTGTTCAGGTCCTTTACTCTATTTAAAGTAACAATATCATACTATAAAAAATACATTTAAAAGCCTTACATGCACAATCTTGATGGTAAGTAATAGTAAATCTGCAAAATATTTCATTGTCCTAGCCATAGTACATCTATACCTTATATACTGTTGGACAGTTTAATCTGTAATACATCATATTTTACAAATTGATTGTGTGTTTCTTTATATAAAACCTCTGGCTGTAAAGTAACCAGTAGCTGTAACTATACATTGATGTAATGGAGTAAAACATTTCCCCCTAAAATGTAGTAGTATAAAATGGAAATACTCCAGTAAATTACAGACATCTTAGAAACTGAGCTTAAATACAGTACCAGTAGCAGTACTAGTAGTAAATGTACTTAGTTGCATTCCACTACTTGTGTTCCTATGGTAGTAGCACAGTAGGTTATAGTCATATTTCTCCTGCCCTGCCAATCTTCCTCTCTCTTTCTATCAAATCTCTTTTTTTCCGAGAGATATTTCAACCACTTCAGCTACAGATACACTCGTCTGGTGGTCCCTGTAAACTGACATGCCTGGCCCCTCTCACAGATTCACACTTTGACCCCAACAGCAGGGGACTTGTCTCCACAGAGGCTCCAGCTGTTGACGCAAGCACATTTTTGATAAATGAAGGAGGAGATGACGACAGATTATGAAGACATGCAGAAGACTTGAATCCTTGCCACGAGATGCCAGGGACCAGGAGGCTGACACTGCTGCGTAGGGTAACATTATAAAAGTACACTGTTACTGACTGGCCAGCTGACCATGTACAGCAAGTCGGGCTTTCAGCAGTCTTTGTGCTAAAATAGGACCTTAGAGGAATTAGGGCTCCATTTGGGAACCAAGAAGAAGGGGTAGAATGTAACTAAGTACTTGTACTTTACTTGAGTGCTTCCACGTTACTTTTCTTTATACTATATCTATTTGACAGACAGTTACTTGTTGCTGATAAACATTATACACAAAACATAAGGTCAGCTAATAAAATATGATGCATTCTTAAAGATATGTATTGTATTTAAAATGATTTCCAGCTCAACCAAATGTAAAATGCTACTTCTGAATGACTGCATCAATAATCCAATAACAGAATAATATCACAGTGAGTATTTATTCACATATTAAATACATTTACTTTTATTTGCTGATTACACATGATTTTGAGTGCAGGACTCTTGTGATGTAGTATTTTACATTGATACTTTTATTTAAAGGAATTTTTTTGAAATTTTAGGAAATGCACTTTTGCTTTCTTGCTTCTCTTGTTGAAGGAGATGCTTGATACCACTTTCATGTCTCTATGATGAATAAGAACCTACAGCCAGCAGACGGTTAGCTTGGCTTATTATAAAGACCAGAAACAGCTAGTGTTGTTCTATCCAAACCAGCTGCTAGGCAACCATCAGAGACTCAGCTAAGAAACAGTCACAGGACCCCACAAATATCAAATGTTATTGGGTGAATTGTCATTTTTATGCTGGCGGCATTTGTAGCAGAAGCATTATGTTTTCAGGTTGTATGTGTGTCCCATTCTCATGAGTACAATATCTCAATAACACCTTGAGGGAATTTCTTCAAATCTGGTACAAACTTTCACTTTGACTTAAGATGTCCTAATTTGATTTTGGTGGAAAGAGATCAAAGGTCATGGTGACGTCACATTCTTGTGAGCACGATATATTAGGAACGCCTGGAGGGAATTTCATTACATCTGGCACAAGCATTCACTTGGACTCAAGCATGAACTGATAAGAATTTGGTGATCAAAGGTCAAAGTCATGGTGACCTCACAAAACACGTTTTTGGCTTTGAGAATGCAATACCACAGGAACATCTTGAGGGAATTTCTTCAAATTTGGTACAAGATGAACTGATTAGATTATGATGGTCAAAGATCACCGTGACCACACATGGCATACAACCACAAGGCAGTAATTGTAGTTGTGGTTGTTTTTTGGTACCGATTAATGAAACAATATGTGTTAATTAGTGAGTTTTGGATTTAGTTTTAGGTCTGGTACTGTAGTTCTGTTAGCTTTGGACACACCCAGTCTCGCTGTTTCCATGTCCAAGTCCAGTTGCCCTTGAATTGAAGGTTGTAGGTCGGTCAATTTTTAACTGTGGTGGTTTCATATGATCGTAAAATTAGCAATCAGCAATCAGTTTAACTTACTCCCTAATTAAAGAATGGATGCAAATACTGCTGAATTAAAATCTGTTGAATGTCTGATCCGATAATGCAGTTCCATGTTAAATTAACATTCAAATACTTAGTTGTCTGCGTCTGCATTTTCTTGGATTCACTTGTACAGCCAACCCAGCACATCTAGAATAGTATCAAGTGATATGTATTTAAAGGCACCACAAAAATTATTTGCAAATACTTGTTGATCCTGCTTAATGTGTGTGTGAGAGGGGATGACTGAAAGATTAGTTTGACACCACAAGGTGCCAGATAAAGTGTCAAAAATTGGGGCAGTTGTTGGTCATCTTAGTATATTCTGTGTTTCTCCAGTTAACATTAGAAGTCAACAGGTTTAGTCAGTCCATTAATCTCATCATAAATGAGTAAGACCTCTTTCAGCGCCACCTCATTCTCTTGTCTCTTCACCTTATCACGCTCTCACTCTGAGCGCTTCTCTTCTTGAACTCCTCGAGGGTTTCGTCAGACTCTTCTGCACGCCTCGCTCACTGGAGGGTGTGGGTGACTTGAGTGCCAGGAGAGCTTTGAATAACAGAGAGAGAGGGGAGAAATAAAAGGAATAAGCACCACAAGCCCTCAGTCTTCTTGAAGCAAAGCGAAGACACAGGAATAACCATGCCTGAGCCAGTCCCTGCAGGTATGCAGATACTTTTTGTGAAAGCATAATTCATTGTAAATAGTCTGGAGACTGGGTTTCAGTGCCAGAGTTGATGCTTGAATTTGGTTTGGTTGGAGGTTTTTAATTTGTTACAGTATATTTGCTTGAAATATGTATAATACTGAAAATATTTGAGAATGTTGCAGATATTGAAGCTCTGCAGAAAGTGTAATTTTCAGATTAAGATTTTTATTTCGTAACAATTATTGTATTTTGGTGTATGTTTGAGATCAATTCATCATGTAGTGCATGCTAAAAAACAATGAGAATGATGATCTGATGAAAAAAAAAACATTGATTTTGGTTTTGAAGACAAGATAAGAGTAGGTAAAAAATGCCAAGATACAAGCAGATGAAAACATCTAAATGTTGCAGCTAAACAAACCAAATCCTTTAAAATATGATTTAAAAAAAATCAAAGTCTCAATTAATAATTCTGACAATGCTGCTCACTGTTGTCCCGTGTTGCAAATGATTCACTCCTAATGCCTTTTAAAGTGTATTTGCTAAACCAGTAGGTAGGGTGCGCATAATGACAGACATTTTCCCTCATTGCTTCCTTGTTGTCTGTCTATAAAGAATGTTCAAAAGGCCATAAATAATCACATAGTCAGCTGCTATGATATCATCAGGGTCAGTATGTTCATGACATCAGCCCAGAGAGTGCCATCTTATTGAGTAAACTGGAACGCTTCCAGACGCAGCTGTGGTAAAGTAACTGCAGCAGGTTCATAAGTGAATGCTGTTGTTGCATGTCCGGTGCTGTATGGATGACATGACTTATTTAACATGTAACTGACTCGTGTCATATACTCTAATGTGGTTAAAAGTAGATCACTGTAGTCACTTTTAATACAACATTCACAGTGTTATCATTAATGCATTGTTATTACATTATTATGACTTTATTCATATTTGTGGAATATTACATGGAAGTTTTTCATGCTTTTTAGCAAAAGCCAACATCATAGGCGGATGTAAACAGTGAACCTGAAACCTCAGTGCTCATAGAAATGTCTTTTTACATTCTTAAGAAAATATATGTCCGCCCATAAAACTTCACACTCAACACTTTTGGGTGAACACTACTTTCTCATAAATAGTTGTCTCCTGTCCTTCACCCCTGTAGTGACATCTGTCCACTTTGACCCAGTGTGGATCTAAATCACTGAACTGACAGACACCTAATATAAGAGGCTGTCATAGTGGAAGAGACCGCTGGAGCTGTTACAGGCCAAGACTGTGGGGAAGCGTGTTGAGCCTTTCAAACCCCTTCAACTAATTTGTACACCGACTGTCCTGTGTTAGTGAATGTGACAGGATTTGCTCGGGTTGTTTGTGCATTGCTCGTAATGCTGCTTTGCACTATTTTAATTCTTCTTTTCTGCATCTGACCCTGGGCTAATTTTTATTTGAATGATCTAATCTAGGCCGTTTTTATTTTTATCCCAGAAACATAACCAGGCACTACTTCTTTTCACCATATACAGCCACAGAGTTTATCCATGTAATATGGATATGATTCCACTTTGCTTACCGTATGTCTGCACCACCCACTGCTCCTTCATTCCAAGCCAATCTCAACAGCAAAGCTTTGATTACAAAGCTCAGATAACCAGCCACTGTTACATTTATAACTATAAAATCCCGTAAAACATTGGCAACATTTTCACATTTAATTTACAGAGTAACAGGACTCATTTTCCTGTAATATTAATTATTTCTGTATTTACACACAAGATGAGTTGAAACATTTTCTGTGCTGCTTCACACAGCAGCCAAGACCCGCCCCCTGCTAACAGCTAAAAATACCCCTGACCTTTTCCACTTTGTTTTTTTTTTCCTCATAAGTTCATAGAGTTTCACACACCCGGGTGGATCAGGTTTTGCTGTAAGCCTTTCACAGGTCCAGCTGAGATAAATCATTATGTAATCTGTCACTTTCATCCAGAAAGTTCCCTCATGGTCAGCAGGCCTGACGCTCCCTCCTGAGAGTGTGATGTAGCCCCAGTGCAGTCAATCAAGCACATGACAGTTTTCTACTCAGTGATTAGGAGCGATCATATGATTCATGGTCGTAATTCCTTTCATCGTCGTGACCTGATGAAACACTATGAGGGCAAGTTGGATCAAAACTGTTCTCGGAAGTTTCTCTGGTTCCCCGATGTAGTTTATCCTCAGCAGGATACGAAAACCATGACGTGAAATGATGAAGTGATTAATCTTCTCTTGGTGAATAGACAATGTTATTTTAAAAACTCTTAAAGGCAAAAATCTGTGATCCAAAATCTAGACAGAGAAGCCCCATCATCAAAAGTCAAAGTCTGGATAGGAAACTGCTGTCACTCCTAGATTGACTGACAGGTCTTGCTAGTTAAAACTCAAACTTTTCAACTGTGAGTGTGAAATACCTCAATTTTATAAGATCAAAAATATATTTATTTGTGCCTTTAAATTTCAAGGAATATATAGACAGATATGTAGACAGAGTATTTGAGGCTGGTCTACAGTTTTATGGCATTTGTAAATAGGTAGATGGAACTTTGTGTCCATTGAAAGAAGCCCACAGCTTCTTTATTCAAAACTGAGACAATACTGCAGATAGAAACGAGATTCTAATTGATTCAAGTGAAATTTCATCAACTTTTACTGTATCAGTGAGTACATATCAAGGATTTAACTTTTGACCTAGAAAGTAGAAATCACAGAAAATTATTGATTACTTTTCAGAAACATTTGTTTTATCATTTAATCCCTATGGCACATATTTAGTAGAAATAGTTAAGTGACATTTATGTACGTTTGCTTATAGCGGATACGAAAGAAACAAGCATTAAATTATGTGTTGCTGAGATATCTTCATAAACTTTGTTGCATGCTGTCTAGAGACACCAAGAGATCCTCTGTGGTTTGATAAGGTCAGGCCACCCAATACTTTTCTTTATGTCTGGGTCATTACACACACAGTAAATCACGCTGTCAGCGGTAAACACAGAGAGGTAAACAAACAGTGAGGTGAAGAACTGCAGTACCTTAACTGACCATGAAAAAAAATGCTAAACAAAGATAAAGTACAAACACCAAAAACACATTAATAACTCATGTTTCCAGAAATAAACTAAATTGAGGACAAAGATATACAGTATACAGTATATTACCACAGGGAGCGTGTTTTCATGCACAAAAATGAGGAGGAAAGTACAAACGGACACAAACAGACCCTGAGGAAATGCCCTTTTTATTTATACAATTACAGCCAACAACCATACCTCGCAAAATCATATTAATTATACACCCACCTCAACTCTAACAACGTTGCCAGTATATGAAACCACAGACAGTCTCAGAGGGGAACATTTGAACTGTGAGGAACAGCTGGTCAGAGGTTCATTATCCAGCTTTATCACAAACTTGTTGAAGATGATCAAGATTCTCACCCCAAGTGGATTGACTTAGCAGATGCTGCTGCAGATTTACACTCAGTGCAGGTGTTAAACCCTCTCGCAGGGTGTATAAAGTATTAATGCCAAAGACTTTATGTGGTGAGCAGCATCCAGTTTGTATGTCAGCAAATTTTCTCATTTTGTACTGAGAAGGTTATTCTTAGGCTTTCGGTGCTTACAGTACAGAGACATATTGTGGCTGTTACACAAGTTGCCATTGGGGGTGAATGCAGTACATAAATGTCGCTATAGCTTTAAATACAATGCTAGTATGATATCACCTGTTTGCATGAGGATTCAGGTTAGCCCTCTATGTGAAAGGCTAAAGAAAAAATGCACACAACACATTTAACTTCATGGTTATATATTTCTTCAAAGCCAAGTGAATACAATGTAATTTCATGACACCTATTTTAGCAAGAAATTTATGACAAGCCAGGAGTGAACACTTAAGCAAGCAAGGTCAAGCTGGTTTGGCTATTCAAGGAAACTTAAGAGAACATGGCACGACTTCAGGGAGGTCATAAGACACCATCCCTGGCCTTTTCCAGCAACTGCAGTGACCCCCACCGAGACTCTCGGGGAGTTGGGTATATTATACGCCTCTATTTCAGTTGAGAATTTCCTTTTACCAGATTTAGGCCTCAACAATTACACCCACAGCGCTCCACACTCGAGGGAAAACTGAGCGTCTGTGTTCCTCTGGAGCTCCGCAGAAATGTGTCCTGCCATTCAGAAATGATGAGGTGGCGAATTTATAAAATAAGTGGGTGAGAAAATAAACCTCAAGTCACTGCAATCGAGGTCAAGATATCAGTTCAAATATTTCTCCCAGAGGTCACAGAGCTTAATAGAAATTTTAAACGTGGTCATTTTTATAGAATGTATCCTCTTACCTGCTAGGTAGTATTTTAGATTTATGGGCCAAGATTACTAGTTTCACCATGAAAGCAGATATACCCAACATATACATTCCCGAAATAATCATTTTATATAATGCAATCAGTTTCAGACAAACATCCAGCTATATGTTGTAAAATTAAATGACAAAATGTGTTTTAAGATCCATCATCACCTAAATTCATGGGACATCCTAAATTACATAAACTATATATGTTGATATGTAGTTAATATGACTAATTAGACACAAACACTGTATGTGATGCAAGTTTCTAATCGTTTCCTTGTTCTGTTTCTATTTCTCAGCTAAACCAGAGGGGGAGGGTAAGTCAGCTGCCGCACAACATTTGCCTACTGACCTTTTGTGTGCCTTACATTATCACACAGTGACTCGATAATAGCTCTCACATTTTCACTTTTCACTCACATCTCCAGTCAACTGCCTGTGTCAAGCAAACACAGGCTCTTGACCTCTGAGGATGTGTAATCAGCACGAACCGTCCTCATTGAGGAACTTTACTTTTTGTCCAGATCTTTCTTTACTTCATGTACACCAGCATGCCACTGTATGAGTTTACCTTCATGCATTTTCACCGAGAATGTGTTGTACGGTATATTGAAGCTGTTTACTGTCTTACTGTCTACTATTTACTGTCAAATTATGTAATGACAGCCAGAAAAATGCTTTGGTTTCCACAAAGTCATATTTGAGTGTGGTCATGTGATACCGGTCTGGATTATAATGTGTTACACACTGATACAATCTATTTGCTCAGCTGTTAGAGTGGCTTTTGTATTTGTTTTCCAAATGGGCTACCATGCTACTGTATCTCTAACAAAATTCCACTAATTTTAGCCCCAAAGGAGCCAGCTGGAGAGGGTGAGGGACAATGACTTTGCTTTTGTTTTGTCTTTTCACTATTTCTATTTTGTGACTTTGAGTGATCTAGTGCACTCACATGGTGTTAATATGTGACATGGTTTGAGTTGCTGGAAAATGCATTTTGAACTAATCAGCCCCGGTAATTATCTGAACAATACAGAACAAGTGGTTTTGCTATAGATAATAAATTGAGCAATTACCAAGTCAAGAAGATAGGCCTACAAGTCAATCACACGATATGAGACAACGCGAAGCCGCTGAAGGGGGTAATGTAATTATCATGCCACTTTGAATCAGTGTGTTTGCATTCCTCAGCTAGCCTACAGCATGTGTTAGCTCAAATGGCGTCCAGAGTGTGTGGTAATAGACTTCCTCATTGTGTTCCTCATCGTACGTCCTGCACTCTGCACATGTCTGAACTATGTATCACAGCATCATTTTTTCTTTCTGTTTTCTTGTTGTGTTTTCATGTTCTTGTTTTCTTTTTGGTGTTGAAAAAGAAGCCCTTTAGTTAACTTTGAGTTCTGGCATGTATACTTTTTGATTGTAAGGAGAAGATCCCTACGTATGAAGCAGAGACACGACATGCCATCTATGTGCACTTTAATACGAACTGATTGACTGCAACTGGGTGTATTTTCCACAATTGTGAACTCATGTTTCTCACAGTGACCTTTCAGTTTAACATTTACCCGCAGGCATGTAAAGTGTGAGGAAACATCTGCAAGTGCGAATGTGCGAATGTGTTTTGGTTGAGTTTTCTCAGTTGTTGTTTTTGTCTTCGCGAGATTCCCAACTTTGATGTCGTCCGTGTCCCATCATCCTTCTGTTTTCAATCATTTAACCATGATTTTTATTTGCTCAGCCGATCAGCAGCCAGAGGAAGATGGTAGGCACCTCCTTAGCGTCAGGGAATAACAGTCATCTTCTACTGACTTTCTTCTCAGCTTCTTCAATTATGACTTAATACAGTGAATGATTACAGCATATATTGGGACTTGAGCTAATTTTCATTCATTTTCTTTAGATGCACCCCCCCCAGATGCAGGTAAGGCAGAATCCTGAACAGTGAATGCTCTGGTTGAATATGTCCGTCTGTAAAGTCTACTTAATGTATTTACATTCGAGTGCATACATGTGCTACACTGTGTGGAACCTACGACAGTACCTGCATGACTCTTGTATGTTTTATTAAAGATTTTTTCAGGTTGATCTCAGGTGACCTTCAAAAGGTTTTGTATTTTTGTAAAATACATGAATCTATAAGCAAAACCAATGTCTTTCATTCAAATATAATGAATATGTTAGTGGTTAGGTCAGTGGTTACTGATGCTGCCTTGACATGGATAATAGAATTATACATTTAATGTTGAATGCCTTATGTTGTTTTCCATCATTGTACTGATATATACATATACTGTACAGGTACTGTATATGGTGTGGGTGAATTTTACCTTGGTTTGGTTCTGGTTTTGGTTTGCTGTATGTGCAGCATACGGCTTTGTAATGTACTGTTGTATTTACAAGTACAGTATACTGCTACGTTCTGGTCTCTGTGTCTTTCTATTGTCAGTGGTTTATGTATTTTTATGTGTCCTGTTTATCTGCATATTTATTTCTGCATGCAGTAACCCTGAACATGTCAAAGGCAAAACATTTCCACACACATGGTGGATTAGATTTTAGTGATTTAAAAAAAATCAGATGTGATGGTGCATGATGTTTCTGTTTCACGTTTGTTTATTGGTCTCTGTTGCAACTGTCTTCTTGTGGAACAACTAGCAATTGCTTCCTAGCTGCTTTTTTTCAGTTTTGTTTGCTTCCTTGTCTGCAACAGATTCAGACAGTGATGGGGATGGTAAGAAAAGAGCGATTTATATTGACATGTCTCTTTACTTTTGCCCTTCTGAAAGTATGATTTGAGTGTTTATGTTGTGTATAATTTTAGTATTATGTGCTGGTCAAGATGTCACATAATATATGACGTGTTAAGTGGGCGTGGGTCTATTTTATTATTTGAAATCATTTTCATCACTTCAGTTTGGACGGATTTTGACAATTTCAAATACCAAACTCCACAGTTGTATGTAAACCTTCCTTGGTAAGAGAACAAGGTTCATATTTTGTAACTTCACTTTTACCAAAAAACGAAGTCACACTCATCACAAAGGTTTTAATAGTGCCCCTCAGGCTGCTTAATCAAATTGTTTTAGAAAAAAAATTATATAAATACACAGGGCATTTGATAGTATTCATATCTTTTCTGATCCCATAAAAATCCTTTTCAGAGCTTAAAGCTTCTTGCCACACCTCAGGCCTACAACTCACCAGATCCATGGCTGTGACAAAAAGGAGACAAAGACCTGACTGTATTGGTCCTGTCGTTAGTTTAGCGCATGATGATATCCTTGGCACATTCACCTGCTCTGTTCACCATCGCTGGTATGTGTTGATGCCGGCAGACAACTCACTCTCAAAAGATGCTGTTTATGTTCTTTCAGCAATTTAGAATTTATTTCTCCATGTGAGGAGTGCTGCCCATTCCATCTGTGACCTATGATACCAGCTCTCTTTTGCTTCTGTCCCTCTGGCAATTTAAACAATGAGAATGAAAACACAGCTGTGCCTCATGTGTAACAGTCATCATGGAAACAATGGCAGCTGTTGCTAACATCAACTGATGTAATGACACTTTTATCGTTGCTTCTCAACTTAACACGAAGCTGCAGTAGGAAAATACAAGGAGAGCTCAAGTTGTTCAAGAAATCTTAGTCAGCACATCAAGCTCGATGCCTTCAAACTGTACAAGTTCTGTATTCAGGTTCGTGTCTCAGCCTTTACCGGATGCTTAAAGGCCTGTAGGTTGTCTACTCTACACTCTTACTCTTACACTTTGGTTGTGTATCACAGCCATCAGCGTGATTCATAAGTCAACACTCAAGTTTACAAGTGAAATTCAAGAGCTGTTATTCATGTTTCAAAGCTGCCGCTGTCTGCCATGGTCTTTCAGGGGCAAAGCTACCAGGGTGATAAGTTGGATGTCGACTCTATTTGGCCTGACTAGGAGTTGATTGGATGGAGAAAATGCTATCGAAGTGCCAAGGCTTCAGGGAGTTGAAAGCTGATATTTCCTTGTGCTGCCCTTCAAATGTATTGGAAATATCCTGCTGCGCCTGAGGGGGTAGCACAGACATCTCCCACTTATCGCACTTCTGGGATAAGGAATTACACCTGGGTGAGCGTAAACCAATGACTTTTGTGCCAGCTGAGTAGTCCATAATTGTCTATGCAGTGCACATTATCACATGTTGTTTGCTCTGTAGGTCTCTATGGTGACTTTACCACATAGCCTCGTTGGCCAAAGTGTCTGCCATGGTTACTTCCTTTTTTGGCTATTTGGCCAGTGTGGTGAGACGTGGCCGATGGACTTGGGGGTATGCAGATGAGAAGTGGATAGCCACAGACTCTTCCAATGGTGGCATTGCTGCTTTGTATCCTCACAACAAGGCTGCTATCTTGGGGAAATTGGCTGCTGAGCTGAAATTTGCCCTGAAATATGGCCTGCTGAGCCAAGCGAGGGGTCAAACAGCGAAGTGAGGTCATTAAATGTTAACTTTGGTTACTGCAATAAATTCCTTGGGGAATGGGTCCTGTGCTGCCAGTTGTACCATCGCTGGGTGTCTCCTCTTAGCATTTATGAGTGCACAGATCATCATCCTTCCAGCCTGTCATGAATGCCCATCGGTGTATGTGGCACTCGGCGAGCTCATCCCGGATGTGCCATCAGTTGACCAGTAAGGGCAAACTGCACAACAGAAACACCTTGAGGTCGTTACTATCCGGCCATTTGCCCGCTACGGTGGGAACACCAGTTCTCTTGAACGTCCACCATCTGTCCACAAATAAGCTATGTTTAGCACAATGCTACTTTCACATAGTGAAGTCATTTGCTTTTCATGTGGTAGCATGGCTAGCAAGCTAGGTTCAGACAGCAGCTGAGAGACATTCAGATGGAAACCTGAGGATATGGACTTTTCTTTGGTCAAAACTCAGCCTAGTTCTGATGCCAGAATATCCATATCCACTTTTAGTCTATGGGAACAGAGCTATACAAAGACTAATCTGCCATTTACCTTAGTTTTGTAAAACCATGTTTTTTTCCATTAACACTTACTGGAGAAGTAAAAGCTTTGAGTTATTAAGAAGAGATTTAGTGCAAAACAAAGTGCCTCATGGGTTTATCAGCTTCATAAACATTGAAAAGAAACTTGCGTCAGACAAAAAACCTGTTTCAGAAAAAATATGTAGCACCCACAAATGCCCAAAACGAAAAGATGAAGATACAGTCATTGTCTCCTTACTACTGAGATACATTATTTGATTATATATTTGATTACAAAGATTCATATGCATAGTGTGTAGGAGAACCTTTTGACTTTACACACAGTCGCCATTGGTTTTGGTTTGATTTTTCATGTCTACTATTTGTTTGACCCCCCCAGGACTTAACTCCAGAGTTGGTATTTCACCACACTGAGTTTGATATCAGTGTCTATGAGAGTGGAACTTCTGTGTGGGAAGTGTTTATCATACCAAGGTTGTTTAAAGCCATACCCATGGGGGTATAGTGTGTGGGGGATTATCATCACTTGGCCAACCACAGACTGTTTTGGTGCACTTGCACCAGTATTGCTTATGAACGCTAGCAGGAAGTTGCTGCCAGTTTCTTAAAAGAAAATCCTGCCATGGAAATCTTTTGAATGTTATAAGAGCAAAAAGTGCAGAATGCCTAGAGTTGAATTAGTCTCTTAGGAAGGTATCTTAGGAAGGAAATGCAACAAACTTTGGTACAAATTATAATATTCATGACACGTCAATGCTCTAAACAAAAAAAATTATCAACAGGTTACACTTCAGTGGTTTATTTCAGCGGCCTGGGGTGCACATGCTCTGTATGGGCTAAAGTAATTGCCTCCTTTGTGAAAAGCAGTCTTGCAAGATCAGTCCAAAAGAAGTAATCAAAGTAATTTCAAACAATAATTTATCTGAAGTTTGGTGATTAAAAGTGCAGTAATCAACACATTTGATCACTTTCTGTTTTGATTGATAACTGTCATGATCTTACCTTCACAAGCAAAAATTCAGCTGTGATTGCATTTCACTGTGTGGTGTATTAATGTAATAATTCTACAGAATAATCATTCTGTAATTGCTGTTCATTTGCCTTGTTTTACCTCATGGATTTGCACTGACTTATGGTACAGTATAACACCGGATTGTTATACTTCCATATGTTAAACTGGGGTATTTGTTTTTCCCAGCTCAGACAAACCATGCAGAGGAGGGTAAGGGTGAATTGAAGGCACAGTGCGGGACTGTGGCAATCCACTGCATGCAAATGTGACGTTATGAAATGCAGATGTATGCATCCTAAGTGTTGCTATGTGTTAGTCAGATATCATGCCCGTGAAGATGTCATATTTCTGTGAGTGGTTCTGGTGGTATACGATTGGTATATAGTTGATTAATAAATGGATTGGATTTATTTGGGCCAAGTATAAACTTTTTTTTTGAATATATATAAAACACAGCAGGAACTTGAGCTGTATAGTATGACTTGATTTAGATGCTAACACTAATGCAAAATGTGTATTGGTTACAGATTTGTACCTTGAACGCTAAGTCTTTGATATTTTTTAGAAAGCACTGATGTATGGAGATCAACAGATGCTCTTGCTAAAAGTTTTATACTTAGCACAGTGAGCGTTCATTAACACATTCTGGCCCTTCTAATTGGTAATGATATTTTGCAAGAGAGATTAAATATCACTGGAACTTCTGCTTGCATGTATACACGAAACACATCCTCGCTGCCCTCTGGTCCTTGAATGTGTTTTGAGCTGAGAACACAGTTCAACTGAGTCTTTTCCCCTCTTCCATGTGAACAACTCACAAAGTAAAAAAAATAAATAAATGAGTGACTTAGACTTTTATCTGTTATGACTGGGGGAAGAGAAACCCCATCGCTGCTCCGGCAATGAATAAGAGAAAACAACAGTTTCAATAAATGTCGATAAAGCACAGCACAGTAAATGTCCTGTTGCCTTTAGCAGTGGCAGTGCTGAGAAATCATAATGAAATCATTTGTCCTCTACTTCTGTTGCTATTTTTTTTAACCTTTAACAACCAACAAAACAACAGTACATAAATATCACTTATACGTAGTGACAATTTGATCACGATATTAGATTGATGTCACAGGAAGTTTATATAGAGTCAGACTTGACATATTTCTCATTTAGATAAAAAAAAGTTAATTGTGCTGAAAATCAAATGTAAAACTGTAAAAAGTAATTACATTCATGATAAGTAAGATGAATACATTCATTAAGAAGACAAGCAAACATTGCAATTATACAACTGCTTTTGATATATAGTTGTGATATATATTTATGCTAATTTGTGATTTGATTGAAGGTTAATTAATTATAACTTGGAGCTGTGCAAGTAACTGTGACAAGGTTTTTTTTGTCAGTATGTTGTGAATGTTTGCAGGAAATGTAGATCTTCTGCCATTTAGTCCTCTTAGCTAAAATGCTGCTGATTTATTATTTTGTGGTTGTAATGTTTCACATGTTACTGTATGTGCACAGCCTGTGTGCACAGGTGTGATTCTGTTCATAAAAACGTCCACGCATTGCACTCTGTCCCTTGCACTTCAGTTTGTTGCACACTGTGGATGCTGTCAATGTCATGTAAAGGGCTGAATCCATCAAGATTTCAAAATCATCAGATGCAGTGAACTAATTTTTTTCTCCTTCTTTTCAGAGTCTGGGTCGACTGAGCTCACTGGGCTTTTCCTCGAGAAGCCTCCGGAGAATGTGGTCGCTGTCACAGGTTAGAGGCGTGAATGGAATGGATGTATAATTGTCAAGACAAGACAGGAAGTGATATAGCAATCCACAAAGTGTAACCTGGTGAAGTCATATGAGTCCATTGTTGTTTGCGAATGGCAGGATCGGATGTGACTTTCATAGCCAAGGTTGACTCGACCACCCTGACAAGAAAACCCACCATGAAATGGCTGAAAGGAAAGTGGCTGGACCTTGGCAGCAAGGCTGGGAAACATATGCAGTTCAAAGAAACTTATGACAGAAATACTAAGGTTTGTGTGTGTGTATATATGAGAGAGAGAGAGAAGGAGAGAGAGAGAGAGAGAGAGAGACCTGTGTGATCAGATCCTCTTCTTACAAAGATAATAAGATAACTAAGAAGTAATTAGCTAATATTTTCTCCTCCAAGGTCTATACTTATGAAATGAAGATCATCAAAGTGGTTGTTGGGGATGCTGGCGGCTACAGGTGCGAGGTGACGTCAAAAGACAAGTGTGACAGCTCCACCTTTGAGATCTCTGTTGAGGGTGAGTGAAAGCGGACTCTGGCCCGCTGAGCCTGACATGCATTCCACACATGCTGATGTTTTGATCCGACCCAGCCCTGATTTGCGTTCTCGGCAACTTCTCTTGTTACAGCCGCACACCAGGAGGAGCATGAGGATATTCTGTCTGCCTTCAAGAGAGCGTAAGTGCATTGGGATTTGTGATTCCGCCTGTGTCAGTAGTCTATGTGCACATGGGTAAATACACAAAAGGGAAAATGCATACGTAGATTATTTATAGTATATCCCAGTGTGTGTGTGAAAGTGTCTTTCAGCACATGCGGTATATCACAGCATAGTAAATTTAATATTGTGCTATTTCAGATGATATGCCTGACCTCCGTTACAGTGTAGGTATTTCTGTTTCCATACGCACAGGGATGCTGGAGAGGACGAGGGAGATCTGGATTTCAGTGCTCTGCTTAAAGCCACCAAGAGGTGACAAGCTACATGTTATTTGGTTTGATTATCAAGCACACAGTATGATTGTGTCCTTCAAAAACACCCCTTATTGCTTCTCCAGTCCTATTTGCAAATATACCCCTTTTTGTTGACTGATAGGAAGAAGAAACCTCAGAAAGTGGAACCAGACATAGATGTGTGGGAATTGCTTAAGAATGCCGATCCAAGCCAGTATGAGAAAATTGCCTTTGACTATGGCATCACTGACCTGAGGGGCATGCTGAAACGTCTGAAAAAGATGAAAAAGGTCGAGCCCAAGCATAGCGAGGGTAAGTCGAGTCAGGCGAGGGGTAGAGGGAGGGGAAGACGTCGAGCAGCATTTGAAATATGAAGGAAATGAACTGGGAGGTGAGATTTTACCTCAGGGGAGGTGGAGAGGGAGAGAGACAGCAGGAAAAAGAAGCAGGCGAGAGGAAAGGCCTCACTACACTGGGCAGAGAAAATAAGAGAGGGAAGGTTTTCATGGACTAATGAGCTGTTAATTCTCCGTTTTTCCCTTTTTGTGTGCGACCCCAGCTTTCCTGACGAGGCTTGACTCTTGCTATTCCGTGGAAAAGGGCAAGAGGATTGTCCTGAAATGTGAGGTGGTTGATCCCAATACCCAGGTGAAATGGTTGAAGAATGGCCAGGAGATCAAACCCTCAGCCAAGTACATGTTTTAAGCACACACACACACACACACACACACACACACACACACACACACACACACACACACACACACACACACACACACACACACACACACACAACAAGCCCCATGCAGGATGTTTGCCTAATGAGACAGCAGTGTTTGGCTGTATCATATTAATCATCAAGCTCAGATGGACTTGATGGGCAGTGCTTTAAAATATCGAGTTAAAATTATCTCTGCCACAAAGCCATACTCTGAAACGATGCTGCCATCAACACGTTTTATTTTTAGGCGCTGTCATGAGAAGCCTCACCGTGGATTTAGAAATTCGCACTGCCATGACATCTTATGCCCCATCTGGACTAATGCAGATACATTCCCAGGACAAAGACGTCCATTTCTACATTTAAACGTCTTCATGTGAAAAGAAACGAAAACCAGATGAAACCAGATGAAAACTGAAATGCAGAAACTGGGTCTGAAAACAAAATTCAAGTCGTTAAAAATGATTGATAAAACCATATATTGTTGAACTTTAAATTAAACGTAAAAGGTTTGTTAGATACAGATATTAGATACAGATATTTAAATTATTTTGAAAGGCATTTGTACTGAAACCTAGCTTGATAAAGGGGCTCTGTTTGACCTGTAGACTGTATGGTTTGACATTCATTCGTCTGTCACTTTTCAAGGTATGTCATGGAGGCAAGCGGGAATGTCAGAACACTTACTATCAATAAGACGACCCTGGCTGATGATGCTGCATATGAGTGTGTGGTTGGCGACGACAAGTGTTTCACAGAGGTGTTCGTCAAAGGTGCTCCGTCTCTTTTTTTTTTCTTTTTTTAAGTTTATCAGCAGTAAAAATCTGAGATTACAGCAAAGAGTCATTTTCATTCAGTTTCTGCTGAATTCATGAATTTTACTGTCTCCCACTGCTCCACCCAGAGCCCCCTGTGACCATCACCAAGCTGATGGATGACTATCATGTGGTTGTGGGAGAGAGAGTGGAGTTTGAGATCGAGGTGTCGGAGGAGGGTGCCCACGTCATGTGGTCAGTAAATATCACACAGTACTTAGCATAATAGGATCAACCTAGCTTGAATCTTCAGGATGTGGCTTTAATCTCTGCCAGAACACAATGAAACCGCTTCCTGTTCTTCAAACAGGAGAGAGTCTGTCTTTCAGTAGTATGTTGTATGTAGTTACTGAGCTGATACAAATCAGATAAAAAAATGTAATGTATGCTGCAGCTCTCTGTTTCTTATCTGATGTGCTGTGTGCATCATGCATTTGACTATCATAACATTTAATCACTTGGCTCCTTGTATTGAAATGAGACAGCATCTACATACATAATTATATGCATCAACCTGCTCTTAAGAACTACCACCGGTGTAAGAGCCATAATTGATTTGTACTTGTATGCTATACATCAACTGCAGTAGACAGACTTATGTTTCTTGTAAAATCAAATCAAACTTAAATGCATTATCTCCTAAGGAGATCTGGAAGATGTTAAATTGATTCTGAAGACTTGCTCTGAATGCTGAGTAGCTTGGAAAGTCTTCTATCAACAAAAGAATTTAAAATTTTATTTCTTTGATGTTCTTTGCATTTGTTTTTATGTGGTATTGATATTCTTTTAATTGAGAGTGAGGTATCTTCCTTTCAATGTGCCTTTACAAGTATAAATAAAGGTCGAAAGAAATAAACGAATATCAGTTAGCATGTGCTAGGAGCAATCAATGCAAAGCAAAATAAGGGCTGAATTGATTCTCAAAGGTGATGTGTGTGTAGGATTTTATTTCATGGATAGACACAGACCATCCTTTCTTTAGCACAGAATTTATTTTTATAATTCTTCATTGACGAATGCAAAGCCCATTCATATTTCCCAAAGCAATTTTTAGCACTCACTGAGTGGCGGAAATATGAATGTGGCTGGTAAATTCACATCAGACACAGGCTTACTGTTCTGATTTGGTATGAAATATTTAGCAGTGACATCTTTCAAAGAGAGACGCTCATTTTATATTCATTCCCAGGTTCTTTGAGGATATAGAGCTTCACAGAGACAAAGATACCAAGTATCGCTTCAAGAAGGATGGAAAGAAGCACACACTCGTCATCCAGGAGGCTACTCTGGATGACATCGGAATGTACCACGCCTGGACAAATGGAGGGCACACCAAAGGAGAGCTGGAAGTGGAAGGTAACACTGGAAAAAATATAATAATCTCATTCATCTTTTATTTCCTTTTTGAATGATTGTGGAGTTTATATAAATAAGAATAATAATAATAAGGAATGTGCTTATTTTAGATACGTTTGTTAAAAAGAAAATACTAATCAAAGATGATACACCAGTGTAGAGGTTGTATTTTAGATTTACTATATTTAGTCCAGGTTTTCTGTCATCTAAGTGTATGCTGCTCAGTGAGGATGCAGCTGAATTAACTGCTGGCCCAAGGGCTTAACGCCTCTCTTTGTAAACAAGCTAACAGCTCATGGCAGTGGGTGGCAGGATGTTACCATCATGAACCTTATCCTCCCTCTCCCTCTACCTTCACTCACTCTGTGTCCTGCCTGAACCGTTCTCCTGTGGTTTCCAATGTCTGATTCAGAGAAAGAACTGGAGGTGTTGCAGGACATTGCTGATCTGACAGTGAAGGCAGCAGAGCAGGCCATGTTCAAGTGCGAGGTGTCTGATGAGAAGGTCACCGGAAAGTGGTTCAAAGATGGAGTGGAGGTCTTGCCAAGTGACCGCATCAAAATGTCTCACATTGGAAGGTACAAAGAAAAAATACATACAGGCTTTAGAAATTCAATATTAGGACACCTTTAATTCATGAGGCACATGTTTTCCCCTCGGCATATCTTCTCTGTTGCTTGTTTCAGGTTTCACCGGCTGACTATTGATGATGTGAAACCAGACGATGCTGGAGACTACACATTTATTCCTGATGGATACGCTCTGTCACTTTCTGCCAAGCTCAACTTCTTGGGTGAGAAAGACAGAATGATTACAACGGAGCTATTGCAGATGCATTAATCATCAGCAGCCTGCATAATATTGTCAACTTCTTTTCTTCTCTCAAAACAGAAATTAAGATCGACTATGTGCCTAGACAAGGTAAGTAGCCTTAAATTACCTCAGTTTACAAATAATTCAAAACTTTTTAATCTTGTGTATAGGTCATATCGTAAGACTCTCTCGTTCTCTCTCTCTCTCTCTCTCTCTCTATCTCTCTCTCTTTGTATGTCATACCTTAACCAGATCCTCCAAAGATCCACCTGGACACCACTGGAAACATGGTCTCCCAAAACACGATCATCGTGGTGGCGGGCAACAAGCTCCGACTGGATGTGGAGATCACAGGAGAACCAGCACCCACTGTTGTCTGGTCAAAAGGAGATAAAGTAAGGATGTGATTAGGGTCACTACACAGTATATCACATAGTGATCAATTACTAAATATGTTTATGTTTAACACAGGAATGCCACGTAAATAATTTGGATTTCATAACTTGCCACGAGTGTGTGCAAACATTTAGGTCCAGTTGTCCAGAGGACAAAACTTTGCTAACACAACAGCCAACTTGAACTTGAAAGAGGGAAACCATGTCAAAACATGTCCAGGCAACTTTGCCATTTATTTATCACCATGGCATCCGTGATCATGGAAGGTCAGCAGGCTGTCTAGTCAACCTGTCACTGCAGTGTGCCTGTTGTTTCTTTTTTTTTCTGAGTTCTGTTCTCACTGTCTCTTCTCCCTCTTTGTCTCTTTCACTGGGCTCCAGTTAAATGCTACCTCACAAGAAAAAGTTGAGATTTGACCCAACCATTGGGAATTTTCTGTGCCCACAGGCAGTTAAGAGCACAGTGGTACAAGAAAAAAAGACTGTTCCTGATGTTTTCGGTCCAAGAGCCAAAGTGCTCTTTTTTAATGGAAGCAGGATATGACCGTTCCCCTGTGGGACTGCTTCTTATTTTACACTAATATCACACTTTAGCAGCCCAAGTGCTGCCAGTGTCACCCTATTGTCACCCCTATTGGCCCATAAGTGCCCTTCTGCTTGGCCCAAGTGTCTGCCACTCTGGAATAACAGGAGAAGGAATTCACCCTAAATCTCTTTGTTTCTTATAAACCTATTAACCCAGGGCTATTTGAACCAAATTGGTGTGCTGTGAAAATTCCCATTTCGAAGCCACGACAATTTCCTGTTTGTTAGGCAATCACAGAGACTGAAGGGCGTGTAAGAGTGGAGGCCAGGAAAGACCTGAGCTGCTTCGTCATAGAGGGGGCAGAGAGGGAAGATGAGGGCAACTACAACATCTGTGTCACCAACCCCGTTGGAGAGGACAAGGCCGTGCTGTTTGTGAAGATTGTGGGTAGGTGAAGATTTTACAATGAAATATCAGCAGGTTTTTCTCTATTTCAAACTTTTCTGATGTATGTTAAAACTGATTGACATCTTATTTCAGATGTGCCTGACCCCCCTAAGCATGTCAAATGCATATCAGTGGGAGAGGACTGCGCCACCATGACTTGGGAGCCTCCTAAATTTGATGGCGGTGTAGTAGTTAAAGGTAAACAATGGATTTTTTTTCTCTCCACTTCTTTATACTTATCTCTACATATTGTAGCATATGCAACATATATTACATTTATATATATATAAATATATGAATTTAAGAATTTTGTCTTGAATTATTCTTCCGTCTTTATGGTCTCTATGTTTTTACACCATCAGGTTATCTCATGGAGAGGAAGAAGAAAGGTTCTTCCAGATGGACAAAGCTCAACTTTGATGTATATGAATCGACTACATATGAGGCTAAGAGGATGATTGAGGGCGTTCTCTATGAGATGAGGGTTTTCGCTGTCAACAGCATCGGCATGTCTCAGCCCAGCCACAGCTCCAAACCCTTCATGCCCATTGGTACGTCTCACAGCCTTCTTTACTTTCTCTTTCTCAGCTTCTCCCTGTCCCTCCCTCCCTGTGTGTATCACCCGCTCTCAGTCAGTGAGTCTCTTGAGTCTCTTTCTGTCACCTTCAGCCCCAACTAGCGAGCCAACGCGCCTGACAGTGCATGACGTGACAGACAGCACATGCAGCCTGAAGTGGCTTGCCCCAGAGAAGATTGGAGCCGGAGGCCTGGATGGCTACGTTATTGAATACTGCAAGGAAGGAGGTGATAAGACCTCACATCACGCTTACAATATAATAATACAAACATTCATGGACAATTTAAAACCATTTAAAACCATATAATACAGTTACAATGAAAATACATAATACCAGAACAAAAACAAAACAAAAATAAGTTACAAGATTCAAATCCCACTCACTGCCAGTTACAGCATTTAATTCTATTTTATTGTAGACACGGAGTGGGTGGTGGCAAACAAGGACCTTTGTGAGAGACAGGGATACACCGTGCGTGGCCTCCCCGTGGGAGAAAAGCTCAACTTCAGGGTGGTGGCAGTAAACATCGCTGGACGCAGTCTTCCTGCTACGCTGGGACAGCCCGTCACTATCCGAGAGATCGTCGGTGAGTCAGTACTTCTTTTTGTTTTTTCATTATTTTCATTCATTCATTTTTCATATTTTAATGAGATGTTTCCTATTTTAATGGGATGTCTGTTTCCGCTTTAGAACATCCAAAGATCCGCCTTCCTCGCAACCTGAGAACAAAGTACATCAGGAAAGTGGGAGAAAAGATCAACCTGACCATCCCCTTCCAGGTTAGCAAGCCTGTCTTAACTCACTACTACTAAAATATAATTTCTATAATTTAATTTCTATAATATAATTTCTTTGAACTGTAAATAGAAAGAGTTACTGTCATCGTCATCCATCACTAGAAAACAAAACCGTTTTTTAAGATGAAGTAAATGTCACATCTTTGACAAAACAATTCGGAGTAAATCAGCAGTGTTCTTAACAAAGGTTCATGCTTTTGTCTCATAGGGTAAGCCACGCCCCGTCGCAACCTGGTATAAAGACGGCCAACCCCTTGACCCCAAGATGGTCAACGTCCGTAACTCAAACGTGGACACCATCCTCTTCATTCGCCAGGCGGAGAGAGAGCACTCCGGAACATATGAGCTGGTTCTCCAGATTGAGAACTTGGAGGACAGAGCCACCGTCCACATCAGGATCGTTGGTACGGAGCGGTCAGGGCGCTCGATGACTTAGAAAAATACAAATTCACCCGGAAACTAATATATGACACTGATGTTTAATTCCAAACAGACAAGCCCGGGCCTCCTCAGAATTTAAGGGTGACAGATGTCTGGGGCTTCAATGCCGCACTGGAGTGGGACCCCCCGAAAGATGATGGCAACACTGAGATTACAGGATACACCATCCAGAAGGCAGACCTGAAGACCAAAGTGAGAGAGGGAGATCACCCCCCACAGTTACCTGCCAAAACCTAGATTATTCTGTATGTGCAACTTGTGATCTTTAAGTTTTTAACGTAATAATATCACTTTTTTTTCTCTCTCTCTGCAGGAATGGTTCACCGTTTATGAACATAACAGACGGCCAAACTGCACAGCTTCAGATCTGATCATGGGCAATGAATACCAGTTCCGTGTCTACAGTGAAAACCTCTGCGGCCGGAGCGATGAGCCACGCTTCAGCAAGAACACGGCTGCCATTGCCAAGACAGGTGTGACCGTGTGTGCGCGTGTGTGTGTGTGTGCGTATACATAGTGCGTGTGTGTGTGTGTGCGTATACATAGTACGTGTGTGTGTGTGTGTGTGTGTGTGTGTGTGTGCCACCTTTCTGCTCTGATTTACTGGGGTTGACTAAGTTTACTCTTCTCAATAGGCCTGGAAATGAAAGAAAACCCCTACAAGGAGAAAGACATGAACTGTGTGCCCAAGTTTACTCAGCCCTTGGTTGACAGATCTGTAGTGGCCGGGTACAGCACTGCCATCAGTTGCTCCGTCAAAGGCTTCCCCAAGGTAAATGTGCTTGTTAAAATAGCCTGTGGTGCCTGATTCACAGGAGGAGGCTGACAGTGCCACTTGTTATGAGCAAATCAAGATCTGACGTCTGCTGTAAGACGCACAGAGCTCCTTACTGTAGCCGTTTTATCAGCAGCCTGACATAAAGCACAAAAAAGAAAACACAACATCTGATTTATTAGACATTTTATTGGACCTGATTTTTTATTAATTTGACTTTTCCGTATCTTAGCCTAAGATTATCTGGATGAAGAACAAAATGATCATCGGCGAGGATCCCAAGTATTTGATGCAGAACAACCAAGGAGTGCTGACCCTCAACATTCGTAAGCCAAGCACCTTCGACGGAGGCAAATACTCCTGCATGGCTGTCAATGAGCTGGGCAAGGATGAAGTGGAGTGTAAGCTGGACGTCCGAGGTGAGGACAGAGGCGCAGAGAGGGCTGCACGGGTGGGAGGCGGGTGGAAGGGGAGGGATGGAGGAGGAGGAGGAGGAGCTGACTCAACTTTGTAATTTGAGTGCTCTCAAGTCTCTGCTGAACACAGATGATTATTAGATGCTTATTTTTGATTATGTAATAGACACTCAAGGCTAAAAGTTGATGATTTTCATGAAAAAGACACTTTGATTCTTGCCAAAATGTAACACATGACTTTTTTCAACAAAACCTAACACTCATCTTTTGTCCCTTTGTTCCACAGTGATGACAAACCCGGACAAGAAGTGAGAAACCGAACAGCAAAGAATGTGAAATAATATGAACCAAACAGTGAATGAACAGTGAATGTTACTATGTAGAGTTCACACTGTCAAGAGTGAAACAAATAAAATTTAGTGATGCCGGCTGTAAATAATTGTTTTGTCTTGAATACATTTTATTTTTATGTTCAATTCTTTCCACAAAAAATCTAGTCCAAGCATACTTCGTAGTAGCAAAAGGAAAAGAGCTCACAATCCTCCCACACACACACACACACACACACACACACACACACACACACACACACACACACACACACAACAAGCAACCAGTCAGGATCTGAATTATCAAAATACATGGCACATTATTATTAGAGCTGTTTCCACAGCTGAGAAGCACCTTTTAGTATTTTCGGCGCCAGTCTCCTGCATTACACCTCCCTGGAGTAGTGGCCTCTCCTCCTGTGGATTGCCACTCCTATGCTGAGCAACAGCGCCACTGCCAGGAGACCCACGGCCACTGCAAGAGCTGTTATGACACCTGTGGGAGATGATAAACCCTGTTTAGGTACATGTGAATATGGAACATTTGGATGATTTCCAAAAAGCCCTGATATTTTTAAATCAGACGGTCTGTGCTGAAAATCCCCCACACCGGTCCCCAAAGTGAATACAGGAATAAACATAATGCAGTGAAGCGTTAGCATTGCTAAAATATGTGTTGAAATAGGAGCAATGAGAATATATATTAAAAAAAAATCTTCCTCACCTGTGCCTGACCATTTTGTCCTGAACCCGCATTCAACCTCCCAGTCCTCTGCAACCACGTCCCGCAGCAGCTCACTGAACAAGGACAAAGGGCAGGGGTTCAGCCCGTTGCATCCTGGCACAGGGTTGGGATAGGGTTCGCGCCAGGAGTCATTGCGGTAATACAAATCCACTGAATAGGACCTAGGGAATTATTAGGATGAATACAATGAGATGACACACAATTATGGTAAGTGTTATGTAAATTTGGTTTGTATCATGAGCTAATTTGGCCATTGCAGTCCTGGATCTCTGCCAGGTTTTCATCGAATTGAAAAGGAAAACAAAAATGTGCTTGAACGGTTTGGTGGAATGCAGTTTTTCTCAACGTGTGGTGGTGTGATTTGGCTAACTGACCTAGATAGTGTACTGAAATATGCAAAGAAAAGAGCGCACGAAGTGACATTAGAAAGGAAGTCATTACCCATCATACTCCTGGTAGAACTCAAAGAGCTGACAGGCAGCGTAAGGAGGAAGAAGGCCGTTGTACACGTCCAGAGCCGCCTGGAGGGTGATGAGTGTCGAGTCATGCTGGAATGAGAAACAAACATCACAGCACTAAAGAGATGAGCAGATACAGTATGTGAAACAGATTATAGACGTGTTTACTCTGTGTGGCTAAATGCTGAACTTACAGCTGAGTACATAATGAATTTGAGAGGGCTCCTTTGTTCTACAGCCCTGGAGAAATTCCTCAGGATGGCGTTCAGTAGGACCCCTGGTAAATTAACACAGTGTCAACAGTGCAAATACAATTTTCACAGATATCAACACAATCCTTTTGACCTTGTTGAGCATCTTGTCTTAGCACTGTAATCATCAACTGTATGTCATTAGCTCATATGTGCTAATATGCTTTTTGAGAAACCCAACCCAACACTTTACACTGTCTGAGGCATAAACAAGCCTCAGCCAGCAGTCACAACATCAGATACACACAGACTTTTTTTTTTTTTTGCTCTGATAACATTTTTGTCACAACAGTGCCTTTTTAAATGAATCGCCTCTGATTTGAATCCCCACCTCCCGAGAGCCGGGCCTTCTCTTTCCTCTTGTGGCTGAGGATGCTGTACATGACCTCAAAGGATGCAATCCTCTTCAGGGTGTCCAGAACGTCTTGGGTGGCCCAGCGTGGGAGAGTCAAGTTATGGATCCTCTGCGCAAAAGAGAATAACATTCATTACCCTGCATCACGCTAATAATCACATTAAATCACATTACACAACACATGAATCACAACAGCCGGTTTAAATGGCTGTATTTCATCGTTTCTATTATCCCGGCTATTTTTAGCCGCGGACTGAAGATAACAGATGCTCATTTTGCAAGTGTGAATGAGCGTATTCAACCTGGCCTAGAATCCACCCATCTCATAATGCTTTAATTATCATTTCAATATGTTGTCCTATTCATGTCTTACTGTATGTATAAAAATGATTTCCCCCACACACCCACTGCCTCCCCATCCCTCTGCAGATGTGTCGAAGAAAGCTCTGTTCCCTCTTTCTCTTTGACTCTCTCGGCTCTGCAGCTGCTGTTTGTATCAGTAATTGAAGCATTTGTAAACTGCAGAATGCAGGTAGTACACAGGCGCCAATGTGTTTTATGTGTGTGGTTATATGCTTGCTGTGAAATATCAAGTATACCTGACAGGTGAGAGTGTCATAGACCCTCCATATTTTTTTGCCAACCAGTTTGGACACAGGGTAGCCAGTGTGGTTGGAGAGTCCCTCCACAAAATACTGCATGGTGAAGAAAAGAAAAAAGAACAAAGGATGAAGCTGCAGTGAAGAGAACACTTTAATCACCATTTTTATGAATAGTATTAAACTTTAGGGGGGGGGTTGTTTTTGCAGGTGCACTGATAAAATATCTCTTATTTGATGTTTGCAATTCAGACTTCCACACATTAGCTGCGTGATTTAACAAATTAATATAGTTTACTCACTGTTGTAAGTTTAACCTTTATTCAGACAAACATAATAAAAAAACCCATTTTGGTTCTTGCATGTAACTTGCAGGTACCGTGACTCCAGCAGAGGGTGTTCAAATTCAGTCCAGGAGACCCCATCCTGATCTCCAACACCACCTTAACAGGCGGCACATGGGACTCTGTTTAATTAAAACCTTTTCATTGTAATTCTTAATCTAATTCAATCCAGCCGTTAATTAGTGTCTCTGAGAATGTGAGAGAAATTGCACTGTGCAGCTTTTTGTAGGAACTGGAGTCACCGTGCCTGAGAAAAATCACTGAGAGGACATGATGTCCACAGCATAAGTAACACGTCCACTGGAGGTGCTGATAACATTGGCACCAACAACTGTGAAGTATACATTCCACTGTTTTTACAGAAATGTGCATTTCACAGTGTCTGTCGATCTACAAATGGAGGCACGGAGGAGCAGAGAAGATGCAGCTGAGGTGAGGAAAAGTATTATTCACAGCAACTTTGATTATATAATTCTGATGATATAAAACAACAGAGTTACAAGCACGTTTTCAGTGGTTAACAGGCACATGACTCACAGAAAAGCGATGTTTAACACAAACTGTGCTGTGAGCAGAGCGTTCACGTCATCGAACAGATGCTGAGAATGAGCTTCTGTACAGTGACTGTATCCTTTCTGTTATGTGTCTTACCTGGTGAGCCCTCAGGAACCTCTGGTAAGGCTCACTCTCAAAAGTCTCCGTCATCAGCTCTCTGAACCTTGGACAGTCTTTGCCTGGAGACTTCAACAGCTTGAGAATATCAGAAACAACAGCACGACATCAGTGGAAATGATGCACATTTACTGCAGGTTCTGCAATTCCTCTGGGCACAATTCTGTGTTCATTTCACACTTTAAAAGCTGCGAAGAGAGACTCAAATTAACTTGTACAAGTTTCTCTTCGGCTGTGTACAGCTGCCGTGTGAAAGGAAATATTTATATGGCTCAGCAGCCCACCTTATCCTGAGCCCTGGGGATGGTGTGCACTGGAATAGGCCGCCACAGTAACTGGGGCATGATGGGAGGCGGGCGTCTGGTTGGGGGAAACATCCCAGCGAGGCAGGCCTGGGCACTCATCAGAGTGCGGTCGTAGTCAGTGCTCCGAACATATAACTGTTAGAAACATGGAGGGAATATGGTGTTAAACTGCATACACATGCTGGTACCACACTGTCACTGATACCACTGCGGGACACGCAGGCTAAAAAGGGGTTGCATCTGCACTTGCAATGTGGAAATGCACATAATTTAGTTTCTATTTTTATTTAATAAAGATGCAAAATGAATGCACCAAGCAAAGCTGAAGTGTATCATGAGTGAGCTGTATTTATCCCAAGTTAACTGAGGTATTCCCTTAACATGAGGAGGAGGGGAGTCAGAAAAGATCCAAATGGATGAGAGAAGGAGGGGGAAAACATCCGTCTTGCTGTGATCTCTTCTGACATCAGCCTTCGCTCGTCTATATCTCTCTGTCACCCTGTGTCAGGTTTTTGCACACAGTAAATCACACTGATAAGGTTGGATGTTCCTGTGATGCCGAGAATGCTTATTCCCCCCCCCCCCCCTCCTTTTGTCAAATTAAAACAGACATGGCAGTGCAGGGGAATGCACGGTACAAGTTGACTGAGACTTGGGCGACAAATGGCTAATGACAGACACTGAGAAGAGTTGTTATTTTTGTGGTAATAGCATGTTATTTCAGAGAGGGAGAAAAGAACTGAATGCGAGGATGGAAAGGGAAGGGGGATGGGGCAGGGGGAGAGAGAGTGAAAGAAAAGAACAGACAGGAAAAGAAAGAAGAAAGCGGAAATCCTGTCTTTGTATTGACAGTGTGCTGAGCATGCAGCCCAGGGGCATACTGTACCAACATGCTGCCATCTGTACTGTACATGGAACAAGATTACCCAACATGTTCAGCATATTACAAGGCCATTCCAGTGATATCACCACTATGAGTCATGTTCATTAACTTAGTGCGTTTACAGGCGTTACAGAGTGTTGCTGGCCACACATGAACTTGATTTCACATGTTGGGCTGAGGGCACGCATGACAACAGCATCGGGTGACACTGAAGCGCACAGGCTCACAGGGGAGTTCAGCTAATAAAAGCCAGAGCAAAAATAAATAAATAAATAAAAATCACACACACATGTGCACACGCAAATACACTTGCCTCTTTATTGTCGTAGTCTTCACTGAGAAAGTTTCCATAGCGCCTCCTCAGAAACCTGCCCAGCTCAAAATGTTGTTTCATGCCCAGCTGAAAGGAAAATTGCCATCACTGTAAAATTTTTTTGTAAAGTCTGACCTTTGTACTGAAGAGATTTGGCGGATTAAAGGTCCGATTCAACTTATTTACATAGAATAACAAATTTCACCCCAACCGCAGGGCTTCCAAGATTTTCTTCCATCTCAAGACTTGTTAGAAACTGATTTTAAAACATAGCTAAGGAAATATACTGCAGTTTTAGACACCACAGAAGAGCTCAACACAAAAGCAGCTCATCCTTCATTTTTCTTATTCTGTAAGTGGCCTCCTGTAAGTCAAATTTGATATAAATTTAGATTTTTATTTAAGATTTTTTTAGACTTTGGACTGGTGACCTGTTCAGTGCGTCACACCAGAGTCATGCTGGAATAGGCAGTACTCCAGCCCCCCATGAGCCTATACAGGATACGTGGGTATAGGAAAATAAATAAATTGATGGATTTTAAACACTACGCATCTAAAAGTTCTTTGTATTTAGTTGATTTATTTGCCAAATCTTGTTTGACAAAATAATAATTACACATCCACAAAGTAACACTCAGTACCTCAGTCAACTGCCCGAAGCCCTGAGCCCACACGTCCTCCCCATGAGGATCCCTGGGATATGACTCAATGGGCGATCGATCCCCATGTCGGAACACCTTAAAAGTCATAACAGATTATGTCACTTGGATGCAGATGTCACACTGCTGTGCCAGCCATTACACTGTGTACTTAAGGGAAAAAATACAACCCGAGACCAGAGTCAGAAATAGAAACCTAGGATCTCGGACAGTTCACAGAAGAGTCATTTTGATGATGTCATGAAGACACAAACGCCGGAGTGGCTCTGTTAGCGGGATTAACCTGAGGCCTCACTTTCTGAGCGGTGACGTGACACACAGGTTGATTAAACTGATTCACTCCTGTTAGCACCGCAGTGATTCAAACGCATTTGTGGGAAACCTCGAGAAAAATCAGATCACAAAGTCAAGTCAACAAAGTCATGGTTTGCTTTTAGAGATAATTGTTATTTTGATGCCAAACACTTTCTACTGGATTTAACACTGAACTGAGCTTGACCTGGACAGTTAATATAAAATGAAATAGTAGAATTCATAGATGTTTTAACAGCTAAGTAGTGATTAATAATTAGGCATATCTTGTTAAAAATTTAATCAAATTAAATCAAATCAAATTGAATTAAATTATTTGTATTGAAGTATCAAAAGTGCGTACTATGCAAGCTTGTGTAACGTAATACTATATAGTTCATTATTGATTGTTACGTATTCATTCATGTACAGCAGTTAAAGTAAATCAAGTTAGAATTCATTTAAAATACAGTGTTCAGTATGAAATGTAGTGAAGTAAAAGTATGGGTAAGGGGAAATTAGCACAGATAAAAACAAACACAAGTTGTATATGTCAAGTAGTAAACCTAACCCTGACTTTATGTAAATGCTAAATGTCAGGCTATACCAAGGGCTGTAATCTGTCAATGTGACATAACGGACATGTTATTATATAATGCAAATCAATAGAACGTGACAAACACACTGGCTTAAACCACGAGGTAAAAGATAAGATGCCTAAAAAAAAAAGAGGGAAAAGAACTTTGTCACATTTTAGGAAAAACATTTGTGATTTTCACTTGAATCCTTCAATCGTCTTTTTCATTCTACCGTTGAACAACAGTGTGAAAGAAAAATATGCAAAGAGGTTTATGAACAAAGCTGTGGTGGGTGAGATATGCTTGACACTGTTGGAGTTTAGACTCAAAGTAATCCTTTGTCACATAAATGTGTAAATATAATAATGCTCAGCGAGCAGAAAAATGCAGTGTAATCAGCAGTTGTAGCACACTCGTGTGATCTAAAATATCTTCCAGATTATATAAAAATTCTACCATGCAACACATAAATCATCAGTAATATTATGTAAACATTTTGCATGTGATTACACGACAAAAAAAACAGGGTACACTTACAGCTACGACAAACTTCAGCACCCGACACTCAGTCAAGCAGATGCAACAGAGAAGGAATAAACAGCCCAAAGCCTCCTGGAACTTCCGCATCTTTTTGACTTGTCGATCTCTACCTCAGCACTTCCTCTGCTGATATGAGGGAAACTATGTCAAGAAATTTGAATTCTAAAAGGCCATCAAAAACAGAAGATGGTGAATACATTTATTACATTTTATTCAAGCAAAGGTGGTGCAAAACTTGGATCAATTAAAAAACATAAATAAACAGAAATATATATATATATATACATATAACATAAAAAATTAGTATGTTTGGTCATATTTTTTAAATCTTTCAATGCCCAGAATTTATATCATCTTGATTTTGAACGCCTTGTCATTTGCAGCTGAGTACATGCACAACAAACACTGATTGCATAAATGAACACACACATGCACTTACCTCAGCATACTTGTTCACACATCGAGCTGCTTTATTCAAACGATTCACAGGACAGGAGCGGACTGCTGTGCATCCCAAATCTTCAGTTATACCCAGATTGACATTAAGTGCATGTTCCAGTAAAGGAGGCAGTGCTTTTAAAGCCCTCCTACCTGACCTCGTCTCGCTCTCTCTCCACAGGGATTTCTGGTCCCAATCTACTTCATCGTCAACTGGAGTCCAAATCACTGTCTCTGCCAATTCCCCGCTGTGCGGCGACATGACAGCCCACCCTGGCCGACAACATTTGAGTCAGCTTTTAAACTTAAGGACACATGTTTGGCCCCTCGTAATGTAGATAAGTCCACTTTAAAGCCACAGTCATACATCCGTATGGACTTTCTGGCTTTAGAGAAACAATATGACAAAGAAATTGGTTAAGTTAAGACGCACCCACCTGGACTATCAAATTGTACTCCAATGTACATAAACACACACATAACACACTTACACACTGGCCAAGGGCAACAAACACTCATTATAACTTGCTATGTCATCTGCTGTGGGTTTAGCCCCAAAATTACAGGGCCCGGAGTGTTTTCCCTGACTTGGCACACATGTAAGTATCTGTTAGTATCAAAGCAGCTTTATGGGATACAGTGGGATTAGTGAGTGTGAAGGTTTAGAGCTATACAGAGCTGACATCATATTTGATAAGTGTAAGATAAGATCTCTTGTACTAAGTAATACAAAGTTCAGTATTCACAGAGGGGGCTTGTCAGTGTAACATGTACATTCTTAACATGAAATGAAAGATTTATCTGCAATAAAGGAGCAGCTGACACAATTGGCAGCTTGTGCACTGAACTAGCAGTGGATGCATTCACTCTAAATTAGGATGAAGTCACAGAAACACAATGTTGAAGCAGTGCATAACAGATGAAGTGATGATCCAAAAATTACATAAAGGATAACTCAGGTGATTTTTCTTACTGTCAACAAATCCCATGTTTTGCTTGCACAGCCAAACTCTGACACAGCA